GGACTTAGGAAGCATTTGATGACTGGGGTATAACATGGTAAAGCACTGAATATTGTTATTTTAGGGAGCTTAATCACATTATTTGCATTGTGTTATCCCCCTCCTCTAAAAAGTGTCACATGCCACTTGAAAAATTAAAAAGGAATGGAAACTGTGGATTAAAAGCGATTTCACAACTCTGAAGGGGCACATCCTGGAGCGTCACAGGCTGGAAATCACTTTTCTGAAGTGTGTCAGGTATGAGCAACAGAAGAGTAATGCAGAGGATAAACACCTGGCAGAACCTGTAGGGCAGGGAAGGGTATGTTTACAGCAGGTGCTGCAGTCAGAAAGAGCTCAGGGGAAACCAAAATCCTCCTTGGGCAGGGTGGGGCTGAAAGTTCCGAAATGCAGTGAAGAAGGGGAAAACCTATCTTTTAACAGCAGGGAAAAGTAAGGACTGTGGGAGACGGCTGAAAAAGAGGAGGGTAGGTCAAGCCATAAACAAAAGAGTAACAGACACAAATGCAAGGACAGTATTCTGCTGACTTTGGACTTTAAAAGAAGCAGCTGTTCTTTACGTGTGAAAACATTTTGGTCATAGCTGGTGGCCATTGGGCAGAATGGACAAGGTAGCTTTGAAGTCTTGAGAAACATTCAGTTCCACCAGTGGGGAGGGTTCCATTAGACACAAGGAAAGAGTATGCAGATGCAAACCCACCCCTTTTTCATCTCTGCTTTTTCATCTTCTCCATGTGCTTGGCTCTTGGGGACCTTATGTGGGGGACAGACCTACAACAGAGCACAATTTAGAGGTTCCAGGGTTCCCTGGGAGATTATCATTATGACATCAAGTTGACTGCACCCTATTCAGCTCCCAAAATGTGCAATCTGGTGTCTACTTAATACGATTGCAATTTACTTGAGAAATTCTGTTTTCTAAGCTTTATTGGAGGGCAAATAAATCTATTTGGTGCACCGCTTTTGCTTTGTTTTATCCCCCACACATCTTTTTGTAAGCTTGTTAGTACAATCCCACACCCAAGAAGGCAAGAGAGGGTAATCCTTTAGTTTCTCAAAAATAATGATTACCTACATTAAAAACAAAAACAAATGCAAAAGTGTAAGATCAGAAGTTTCTAGAGACTAACGTCTTCTTAAAATTTCCCAAGTAAGCATTATGATCCATTTTACACCCCTCTAAATTTGTAAATTTACACAATGTCCCCCACTCCCAAAGAAAACACAGCAGGATCTTTGGTGACAACAGTTATTAGTGGTGCCTATCATTTAATGTGGGAGGTGGTGCTGGTGAAACTGGTAGGAGCTGGTGCACAGAGTAGGGCAACTTCTCTGAGTAAGAGTTATCCATTTTAAATCTTAATTGCTTTTCTCTGATTATAAAAATAAATGCTCATCATAGAAAAATTCAATCTTTCAAAAATAGGTAATGCAGAAAGTGAAAGCAATCGCTAAGAGCGAATCACTCCAGCTTTCCCTCCAATACTTATTTAAAACAAAATAAAACTGTAATTGTTTTTTAAATAGGATCATAGCATGTTTAAGCCAGCAATTTGCTGTTCTTCGTTAAGACTTTATTTGGTCTACTGAATAAATAAATATGAGATCCATCACGTCATTTTTAAAAGGCTGCATAGTGCTCAAAAGTTTGCATAGTATTCTATAGAAAAGATGATTTTACAATTATTTTAATTTAGTGAATATTCCTGTTCACATATCTTGTGCACATGCGAAAGCATTGTTGGATATAAAATCCTAGGTATGAATTTGTTGGGTCAACAGGTGCACGTATTAACATTTTCATTAGAATGCATTTAAATTTTAAATCTTTAAAATTGGTTTGTAGCTTGAAACAGTATTGGCATAATTCTTTGTTGCAAAGTCTGTCAAAAGTCACCAAGTCTATAGTTTTCTTTAATTCCTTTTTCAGGAGTCACTGAGATAACAGTTTGCTGTCACAGGCTGGCATATAATCTTAGTTTGTCATAGCATTACAACTCTAAAGCATGCCAAAAAGATTTGCCATTTTTGGGGAGTGAGCTTTTGGATTTTTTTTTTTTCAGACAATATTAGCTTCAGGTATGTTTTGAGAGTTCTGAGTAGGATTTAGAAAGATAGGTAAACTAAGACTAGTCTACCACCCAATTCTTCTTCTTTCACATAGAACAGGAAGGTGCTCCTGGGACAACCACCTAGGTTATCAGCTGCAGGAGGCCCTATCTGCCAACTCTCAGCTACTTCACACATGGGTTCTATCTCTAGCAGCTTTCCAGTGTCTGTCACTTCAAACCTCAGCCACCAATTTGACCACACTTTCATTTTAGGAGCACCCAGAAGACAGACTTTCAAGAACAAAATACTTGTAATAAATAGTACCCTCCTGGATCTCTCATTCTGAAGTGGTTTTTGCTTCCTCTGGACTCACAGATTTTAAAATGTGTGTGCTATTCATTAACTTGGCAATTTTCTTTGGGGACTTAAAAATATCCCTAGCCTAAGTAAGACTACACACTAAATCTATAGTAAGAATAATTGGATCTTTGATTTAGAAGTAGTGTACTGATTTTTCTAAGCCTTTCCTCATTACAAAGATCAGATTTGATCATTAAACTACACTGACCACAAGTTCTATTCTGTAAGTCCCTTTCTCAAACAAAACAAAACAAACCCCAACAAAAACATGGCATCAAGTTGTTAATTGGGAATGCCTCTGTAAGCCTAAAAATTTTTTTAATGATCCTGTATAAGCAAGATGGCAAAGGAAATATTTATGCACAACATTTATATTCTGGACTTTGCCAATTGTGGTATGACCCTAATAAGAGAGAGGTATCTGCCTCCAAATCCATGTCAAATATGCAGTTATTTGGTTTTAAAGCCAATAAAAGTAAAAGCAGTAAGAAAGTATAAAAAAGGGAATCAAGAGTGAAAATTTATCTAAATAGGGGGGCATGTTTTGGATAATACACATTTGGGGGAATAAAGGCAGAAAGTGTACAAGAATAAGTTTCAGACAGTTATCCCAGAAAAAAAGTCCATCTTATAAAACACATTCTAATTCTAGTCTTTTAGTACTTATTTATGTCAGACCAGCTCTTACTGGATGTTTGGTTTCCTGTGTTGAGACTTAGAAAAAATACCTTGTGGTTAGAAAATAGCATATTCTCAAGATAGATGACTGAAAAGACTATTTTTTGGCTTACTATTTTTTACAACAAATTTTACTTTAAAAAAGAGAATGAATTAATAGGATTTGAGATTAACTCTCGCTGGTAGAACTGTAGTAAATATAACTTAGTCTGCTTAAAAAAGAAAATGGATCATCTCTGGAAAGAATAGGGCCTAAAATAAAGAAGAGTTTTTGCTCTGTAGCAAAAAAAAAAAGGAAGAAAAAATTAAGAATACTTGGGGGTGGGGTAGATTTCATGAAAGAGTAGTTAAAGAAAGGCATGTGCCCAAGTTGGACTAGAGAGCAAAGTCCGAACAACATCAGCAACAGAGGCATTCTTGAGGGAAACCAATGCCGGGAGCGCCCCTATGGTTAATTAAAACAAAAAGGTAAGCAAGTATTCAACTTGCTGAGGCTTACACTAGAATACAGCACACTTGTAATACCAGATCCTCAAGAAACAGTAGTGCTCAAATTTTTTAAAAAGACACACTATAGAAAAAACTATAAAATATAAATTAGAACATTCTTACTTGAGGTAAATAAAATAAAAAAATACAGTAGAAATAGGGTAAGAAATTAATGGTTTCAGTCCCTCAAGATAGAAAGAATTGTCATGATCATACATCTTAAAGCAAATGATAGTCATTCCTAAAACCCGTACAAAAAAATTAAATTTAAACAACTAAGAAATTCCAATTAAATGTGTAAAAATTCCTGAAAAAATTTGATTGAAAATTTAAGTTTGACAGATCATCACGTGGTAATATTGATATTACACATGTAATATTTATAAAGTTTAGATAAAAACAAAATATATATTATTTCTATTTTAAAAGGTCTTTTGAAACTACAAAAAACATTCATGGAAAAAAATGATGAAATATTCACTACCTACACCAAAACAAATACATACAAAGTTCTAAGTTTCATTTTACAGGAACACCACCTATTAAAGTGCAAGGTGCGTGAATATCTATCTCGGTGACAGGCGTAAGCTCGGCCAGGAATCACAAACGTGTTCCGAGTGGAGGCCCAGTTCAAGCCCATCATTTCATGGGCACAATAAATCATCCAAAAGCCCACCTTCAACAGCTAAAGCTGTCATAAAAACAGGCCGATGGGTACTTTACTCCAACAATAACATAATCCTCGGTCTTATTGTTGTGCAGCAGATGTCATTATGGGTGGGGCTGACGCGCAGAGCAGCTGAAACATTTCTGTACCACCCCCCTCAATACTTTCAATGGGATAGCAGGGCTCCCAAAAGGTAAGGGCAAAGCTCTCGACGATTAGTTCCTACTAGAAATAAGGAAGTTATGCTGTGGCCGTGGTCCGCGTAAAAACCACGATGAGGTTTTTAAAATCCCCCAGGTTTTTAAAATTTACCCTGGAAAAGAGATCGTCCCCTCTCCCCCTCCCCTCCCGGCTCCTCCTCGGGACACTTGGCTGAGTCTTTCTTTTCCTCCTTCCCACGCTGAGGTGAGGCTGCACGCAAGCCCGGGACGCCTGTTTTTCTCTTCGTGCCGAGGGAACTCTACGGGTAGGAATCCCAGGTGGCAGGAAGGGAGAGGGCGGCGTGGTGGGGCAGTGGTGGTGGGGGTGGGCAAAGAAAGCTCGTCTGGGTCAAGCCGGTCTGGGGTTGGGAAGGGACAGGAGGGCCGCCAGGCGGACCCGAGGAGGCCGAGGTGACGAGGAAAATCTGCGGGCGCGGAGCTGGGACCGGCCGCTTCCGGCGGGCCCCAGTCATTCTCGGTCTAGCGCGCCTGGCGATCTGGACTCCACCAGGGCGGGCGGGTAGTAGAGAGGTTAAACCGCGGCTCGCACTTGCCTGGGTTCGGGTGACCAATAACTGGTAATAGTCTTTGCTCGGCGCTGGGCCTTGTCCTACAATTTCGAACAGAGTCTCCGGCAGCCACGACGCCATCTTGGGACGCCACCGTCGTCGCTAAGACAACCAGGAAGGGGCGGGGCTTGATTGGGGTCATGAGGCCAAAGCCCCAGTTTAAATCGAACCCCGGTTTTGAGCTAACAGGGGGTTTCTAACTAGGGGTGATGTCCCCTTTCCCAGGTGTCTCAGGGAACTCTGCTCCGTGAAATTTCTGTCTCAGGTCGCCGGTGACCCGAAGGGGAATTAGTTCCTGCTACCACGGAGGGGCGGGGGGTGACCCCGGCGGAGGGATATCAAGTGAAGCTTCATATTCCCCTTCCTGGTCCCTCGAAGGGATCGGGAGGAGATTGCAGGCCGCTGGGGAAGTCGATTCGGGCGTTGGGAGAGGGAGGGGCGATGCGATGGGCCGCGAGTAGGCAGCGGGGCCTGTCCCGCGGACGAGCCCGTCTGCGCAGCCGGAGGGAAAAGTAGTTCCCAGAGGGTGTTGGAATAGCGAGGAGGGAGGCGGCGCGGACGGAGGCGCACGCCGGCCGCGGTGCTGCGGCTCAGCTGATAATTGAAGGGACCCGAGGAGCCGCCGCCACCACCACCGCTGCCGCCGTCGGGGGGTGGGGGGAGCGAGTGGAAGTTATTGCCGCGCCACCGAGTCCGGACCGAAGACTTTGGGGCCAAACTAGGTAACTGAGGCGCAGTTGCGAGCGGCGGGGCCAGGCCTAGGGGGAGGGTGATGTGCTGAGATTGGGGGTGGGGGGGTTACGGGGTTGGGGGGAGGAGCTCGAACAGAAAGTCCCAGGAAGCCCAGTTGTGTCAGCGCCGCGGCTCGGCCCCCGCTCGGCCTTCTCCCGGCGCCGGCGGCGGGACTGCGGAAGGACTGGGCCGGGGGTTGACTGGGAAGGCGCTCGAGGGAGACGGCGGCCGGAGGGACCCGGACCGTGGGGGAGCTGAGGGGGGCGGCCGGTGGGTGCCTCCTTCTGTCCTCCGCCATGAGGAGGGCCGTTCTCGGAGCCGGGGTGAGGCGTGCGGGTGTTAGGGAGCCCGGAGGGGGTGGGGGGGCCGGAAGTGGGCTCTGGAGCTTGGAGGGCGTCTAGGAAGAGAGAAAGTGGGGGGCCGGAAGTGCAGGTGGGGAGTGTGAAGACGGCAAGGGTTCCCCGGAAATGGGATGGGGGCCCGGAAACCGGGAGAGGGGAGGCTCCAGGGCCTGGGACGGCCCGGAAATGGAAACTAGGGAGCAGCTCGAGTGACAACAGTTGTGGGAAGCGGGGGTCAGAGGAGGTAGAGGCCGGAGTGACTTGAGCCCGCAGTAAGGGGTTTCCTGCCAAGAGGGACGGTTGCGGGCGGGCGGGCGGGCGGGCTAGGCCGGAGACGGGGTCCGCGCTTGGCAGTTGTGTTAGTTGTGGGAAGTTGAAGCTGACGGGGATGACGACGAGACGGGCGTGAGCGTGCGGGCGGCGAGCACGGAAAGCGGCCGAGAAACTTGGCGGAGAGGAGCGGAGCATCCTTCTCGATAGTTTAGCATGGGAATTGGGGGGAGGGGGTCCAGGACTTGGGGCGGGGGGTGGTGGACCAGTTGTCACTCCAACCGTTTATTAGCATTCAGAGCGAGTCAGGCGATTAATTTATTTATATGTGGATTACATAAAACCTATTATAACGTTTGTCCATTCAGTTCACCACCCTCTCCTCCTCTCTTCGCAGTGAGTGGGTTTCTAGTTCAGAAACAAGTTACAGGCGAGATTGTAAAGTCCCAAATCCTGCCCTCCATGTCGCTCCCTTCCTCAGAATAAGAGAAAGGCTAAATTTTTGGAGGGGTAAATGAATGATTTTTAAAATATGCACATCGGGCGTTAAAATATGCACATCGGGGGAAACTAATTGAAGACAGTGAAACTCCTGCTGGGGCACGGGAGGGAGGCAGTTACCCTCGTGTGGGGAGGAGAGAACGGAAGGGGCTGCTCCTGAAGCCTTAGACAGATTTGTTTCTGATAAGGCTGTTGTGTAAGGGGAGGTTTAGCTTCAGCATCTCGTCTGGCTGTGGGTATAGTTTAATTGCTTCGTTAGTTAATTGGGGGAGGGACTCCTAATGTGTAAAACGTCGGTGTGTGCGTGGTGGGGGTGGGCGGGACGTTTAATAGCCCAGGGAAATCGGTCCCGAGTGGACTTGCAGCTGCTCTCCTGCTTTCTCCCTTTCTGGTCGGCGTTCCCCGAGGTTGCCTGGGCTGCCCAATCACCCGAACCCCGGGCTCGATTCTGTTTTGTAGGCCCTTTACTTGTTTGTGTAACTTTCTAGTCCTTTCCAGTCTCTTCAGATATTTTTGGCATTTCATTTCTTAAAGACCCAGAAAGTTGAGGCTCAGAATCTCCTCTCTGAAAACAAAATAAAAATATATACGGGGTAGAAAGTTGAAAGAGCTATTGAGTGGGGTGAAAAACCGAGTCTCGGAACAAAGGTCCTAGTTGTTAGAGAAAAAGGCAAGAGGCCTGTGTGTGTCGCATTTACACAGGGGGTGAGAGGTTGGAGAAGGGGCCCAGTGAGTCTTGAGGAGTGGAATTAGCACAGGTTTAGAGACAATAAATTGCAAAAGGTGTTAATGAGGCTTATGTTCATATTTACACCATGCAAAGAATATTAAGTGTGAATTTTAAACACAATTTCTAACCCTTTCGAACGTCTTTGCTTGTGTTTAGCCCCACGAATATTGAATTAATGTGGCTTTTGTATCATCTTTATGAGGTTGTTTGCAGAGTTTTTATTTTATTTATTTTAAGCTTAAGAGAGAGAGCATTAACAGGATCGGGGTTTGTGGGCTTTGTCCACAACTGCCTTTCTATGAAAGTGCCAATATCCATAAGAATTGAAGAACTGTAATTAAGATTATAATTTTTTCCATTTGCTTCCCAGTTTTTCAGGAGTTTGAGTGGCTTTTCAGTCTGCTCAGCTGACATTTAGTATTTAGTTTGTGTCCATAAACAGACTTTTTGTTTTGGTTTTGCATTCTCTAAAAGTTTCAGAACTTTTGGCAGTTAGGGTTCCAGAAGGTGCTAAACTAAAACAAAATTATATTTTAAAAATGAAGGGGATACTAGGCCAGGGTAAAATCAGTCATTTCTAGCAAAGTAAATTGGAAGTAATGTATACTGGTCCATTTTAACTTTTGAGTTTACTTAATCTATGAAAGGTTTTGTGTTTCTATTTTAAAGACATCATCCTAGCAGAGACACAAAATGGCTTAGGAATTCATACCTTGCCAGTAAATGCCTGTTGCTGACCTTGAGCTATTCACTCATCTTATCAGGTCTCCAGTTATTTTATCTGTAAAATGGGAGTGGATAATCACTGTATTACCTCACTGGGTGGTTGTGAGACCCAGTGAATATAATGGTTCTGAAAAACTACAAACTGCTGAAGAAGTGTAAGATACTAGATTCAGAAAATTATATTACTTATTTTGAAGTCATTAATAAAAGATAGTAGTTTCTTATCATTAGTGGTGATTGGGGGAGGTTAGTGGTAGTTTGAAGATAAGAAGTTATAGTACTTTATAATTGTTGAATTTGCTGCTAAATTGGTAGGGGGGCTTGGGCCCAATTTCTGTTAAAATTATTTTTATTTTTCATTACCATGCTAGATAATTTTTCACCATACAGCCTACCGAGTAAATTTGTTAATCCTTTTCAGAGAAATTTTAAACAAATTTCTTTACGTTATTATTTTTTTGTCTGAGTTTTTTGTTTTTTTTTTTGGCTTAATCTCTTCACCTTTTAACTCAGCCTCCCATACCCCCTGAAGACTGACAGCTGTCAGTTCTCTGTATCTTTGAGTCTTTCTATTTTGTTCGTTTATTTTGTTCATTAGATTCCACTTTCATATAGGTGAAATCATATGGTGTACAATACTTGTCTTTCCCTGACTGGCTTATTTCACTTAGCATAATACTCTCCAGGTCAGTTCATGCTGTTGCAAAAGGTAAGAGTCCCTCTACCTGCCCCCGCCCGCAAATGTACCACAGCTGTTTCATCCGCTCATCTGTTGATGGGCACTTGGGTTGCCTCCACATCTTGGCAATTGTAAATAATGCTGCAGTGAACGTAGGGGTGCATATATTCTTTTGAAATTAGTGTTTGGGGTTTTTTTTTCCAGATACATTCCCAGAAGTGGAATCTCTGGTTCATAAGGCAGATCATCCATTTTTAATTTTTTGAGGAATTTCTGTGCTGCTTTCTTTCACAGTGGCTTCACCAGTCTGCCTTCCTATCAGTAGTGCATTAGGGTTCCTGTTTCTCTATATCCTTGCCAATGCTGGTTGTTTTTTACATTTTTTTTTTAATTGAAAAATATGTACCTATCTTTGGTATGTGGCTCTTATGAAACAGACTTTCTAATGTCAGACATTTAAATTTTTCAATAGAATCTAAGAAGGTTTTCTATTTTTGTTTTAATTTTAAGTGGGTGGGTGGGGATCTTTTTGAGCGAATGTGGTAACAATTGCCCTTTTATTTTTCCCGTTTGCCGAGGTAATTTGATGGACTCAAATTGAAAAAGTCATCTGCTTGTTGCTGCTTGTCTTCACTCTAGTTCTTGCTACTGCCAGCCTGACTTGCACTTTTCTCTTACTTAAATCACTTTCAGATCATTTCAATTTGGCCCTTCAAATCATTTCCTTAAAACTTTTTCTTGGTTGTGTTTATTTCTTGGTTGTAGATATGTTTCATTTTGGGATTATAGTGATAAATTTGTTGAAATGTGTTGCTTTGTTTTCATGACTGGAGTATAGGCTTCTTGGGGCCATAATTTAATATTATTGTGTTTAGCATGATGGTATACTCATAAACCTGTTTGGAAATAATAACTTTCGGCCTTTTCACTCTAAACCAATAATGTTAGTGGAGTCTTCCCTACTATGCAACCAGTCTTCCTGCTTTGAAAGGATTTCAGACCAAACAGGTTCCTCAGGATGCTGTTTGGTTTAGTGATCATAGCCTTTTCATATCTTGGGACTACGGTGACGTTAGAGTACCTACTAGGTAGAGTGGTGGAGTAAGAATTTGGTGGGTATTATGCAATAAATATAATTTGTAGATTGTTATATAAACCTGGTGTTTGTTCTTAACATATAATAGCTTTATGTTTGTGTATTTTTTTATAGTGCTTGTGTATAGTTCAAATAGCTGTTACAGATTTCTCAAAGGTATAAACAAAACTCCTAGCAATTGTTCTTTACAATCCCTTGTCTGCTACCTTACCCTACATATTAGGCACTTGCTGCTGAATCTGTCTCTTGTTTTTTATTTAAGTGAAATTTAACTTGGCTAATGTCCTGGATTTTTAAAAATGCAGTTTCCTTGTACACCCGAAACTTAGATAATGTTATTAACTGATACCACGCTCAATACATTTAATTAAAAATGCAGTTCTTTAATTAAATCTAATATAATTTATTGATAGTTTTAGGTTATTGGCAAAAGTTGTTTCCATAATCACCATAGTGGCTCAGTTTATCTCTGAGGCCTTTTAGATTTTTGTTGTTGTTTTTGTAGTTTAATTAAACTGGATTGGCCAGAAATAGAAGGAACTTGTGTGTTACTAAGACTTAACTAGTTTCTTTTGAGTGTGCAGAAGCTGTTGGTCATAGTCAGTTTTATGGTTATACTTGAATTAAAATGTCATTCTAGGGGCCTAGAATAAAAAAGCCACCTGCTGCTCTGTGTTCTTTCTTTAGTGAACACTGTTCAAGTGAGTATCTGATAAGAAGGTAAAAGACTTGGATTCTAGTCCTGGCAATGCCTTTTCTATCTTTGTGTGTGTTTTTGTTTTGTTTTTTGTTTTTTAAAGATTTTGTTTATTTATTTTTAGAGAGGGAAGGGAGAGAGAGAGAGAGATCAATGTGCAGTTGCTGGGGGCTGTTGCCTGCAACCCAGGCATGTGCCCTGACTGGGAATTGAACCTGCAACACTTTGGTTCGCAGCCTGCGCTCAATCCACTGAGCTACGCCAGCCAGGGCTATCTTTGTGTTCTTAGACAAATAATCTTTGTGAGTTTCAGGTGCCTAATCTGAAAAATGTGGCTTATTGCCACCTAGTCTAGAGTTAATTATCATTAATATGCTAAGCACTACATTTAGGAAATTTGGGTACAAAGATGGATTGAAACACAGGGCCCTTTCTTCACTGCTTCTTGGAGCATTGACCATCCCCTCATTTGGTAACACCCTTCCACCTAGAACATTCTTCTCTTATATTATGTAGGTATTCTACTTGAAAATATTTGAGTATACAGTAGTATTCTGTAGCCGATTATTAATTCCTTGAAGTACATGACCCATAATAATTCTTGAAGTCATTATTGAAGAAATAAAGGTTGCGAGAATAAGTGATACTGTAAGTGAAAGTATTTTGTAATGATTTAGTGTCCTATTTGTTTTGATAAATATTTTGGATTGTTAATGCTAAAAATTTTGGGGGAGTTTTCTTTTTCATCTGAATATGTATTTTAGAGAAT